GAAAGCTGACCAGCCCCTGAAGACCTGAGAGATCTGGATGGTTCATCATTTAGCAGGAGGTCAGAAATGTATTTTGGGCCTAAACCATTCAGTGCTTTATAAACCAGCAGCAGTATTTTGAAATCTATTCTTTGACACACAGGAAGCCAGTGTAAAGACTTCAGAACAGGAGTGATGTGATCCACTTTCTTAGTGTTAGTGAGGACTCGAGCAGCGGCGTTCTGAATCAGCTGCAGCTTTCTAATAGATTTTTTAGTGAGACCTGTGAAGACACCATTACAGTAGTCGAGTCTACTGAAGATAAAAGCATGGACAAGTTTTTCCAAATCCTGCTGTGACATTAGTCTTTTAATCCTAGATATATTCTTTAGGTGATAGAAGGCTGATTTAGTAACTGTTTTAATGTGACTGTTGAAACTCAGGTCAGAGTCCATGACTACACCTAGATTTCTGGCTTTATCTGTTGTTTTGAACATTGCAGACTGAAGCTCAGCGCTAACTTTTATACGTTCTGACTTGGCTCCAAAAACCATTACCTCAGTTTTATCTTTGTTTAATTGGAGAAAGTTCTGACACATCCAGTCATTGATTTGTTCAATGCACTTACTCAGTGTTTTAACTGGAGCATAGTCTCCTGGTGAAATTGTTACGTACATGTGTGTGTCATCTGCATAGCTATGGTAACTTATTTTGTTGTTTTTCATTAGCCAGTGGTAGCATGTAGATGTTATAGAGAAGAGGCCCCAAGATAGAGCCTTGAGGAACCCCACATGTCATATTTGTCAACTCAGATGTGTATTTACCTATAGAACAAAGTTGTTTCTGTCCTTTAAGTAGGATTCAAACCAATTTAGAACTGTTTCCGAAAATCCCACCCAGTTTTCCAGTCGGTCTAGTAATATGCTGTGGTCAACAGTGTCAAACGCAGCACTGAGATCTAATAATACTAACACTGAAGTTCTGCCACTATCTGTGTTTAAGTGGATGTCATTAAAGACCTTTACAAGAGCAGTCTCAGTGCTGTGGTTTGGACGAAAGCCTGACTGGAACACATCAAAACAGTTATTTAAATGCAAGAAATTACTCAACTGTTGAAAAACAACTTTTTCAATGATTTTACCTAGAAATGGGAGGTTTGATATGGGCCTGTAATTGTTCATTACTGAAGCATCTAGATTATTCTTTTTTAAGAGCGGTTTAATGACTGCAGTTTTCAGGGCCTGTGGAAAAATACCTGAGTGAAGAGACACACACACACACACACACACACACACACACACACACACACACACACACACACACACACACACACACACACACACACACACACACACACACACATTTGATTGTAAAACAGTTCTTGATAACATCCCAAGGGAATTGATCCTATGCTAAACCCCTTCCAGAACACCAACTTTCTAATACCTTAGAAACTACAACTAGGCGTTGGCACGAATGTAATGCTTCAGCTTCCTACAACTTTAAAGCTGTGTTGATGTGGCTCTATGAAGAGTCGTTCATATTTTTCTCATTCATTTCATACGTTTAGAAGGGGGGAACATAGTCTAACAACAGTTAGCTTTTGTTAATTTGACCTCGAGCCAAACTTGTGAGACTTGTTTCTGAAATCCCTTTCTCTTAAAGTGAATAAATAAAAAAACAAACAATGGAGCTTACCCTAAAACTAACCACTGGATTGCTTGTCTAACATGACCTAGTCCATAAATGAGGTAAGGGTGGGAACAATCAAACGCACCCTCCCAGGCACTGCCTGTTAGCGAAGTACAACTGGGATTTCGAAGAGGAAGATATGCTTGGTCAATTCTTAATAAAAAAGAAAAACCAACAAATTGAGCACTTGAGTTTTCATTAGCAGCGCCTAGCTACAGCTGCGGAGCTTCGGTCAATACCACTAACAGTCTATTTCCTTAAAATGGTACATATCGATGAATCTATATTTTCATCTTCAGGTGATGAAATCTGCATAATGTCCCTGTACAATAAGATTCGAGCATTTTGTAATCCAGTGAGGAAATTCAAGACCAGTCAATATTGATTGATTAAACAACACTAAATAAAATGTTAGTGTTTTCTTCAAACTCAGACTCTCTGCTGCAGCTGTACCTCAAAGACAAAACAATTGTCTGATGATCTTTGTTGAACAAGGTCTGATTGTCCTGTACATGTACAATGTGGGGTATTTTTAAATACTTTACTAAACCACATTCAATATTATGTTAGACACAAGTTAGTTATTACTCATTATTACTTGTTTTTTCTTCAAGAATGTTCTTATACAAAATACCTATTGTTTTTGACAGTTTAGTCTGTACATAATTTATATGGTGCTTCCAGTTGAGTTTCTCGTCATCAAGCAGTCTTAAAAATGTACATGCACCAACTTTTTCTATCTCTGTATTGCAAATCCATATAATGCAGTCATTTCTACTCTCAGACTTTGTATTGAATAACATGTCATTTGTTTTGGCCACATTAAGGGATAATGTATTAACTGCAAACCAGTTACATAGTATTTCTAATTCTGCATTCACAATTTTAACAAGATCGCCAAGATTATGATGGGAGCAGAGAATTCAAAGTTCAGGTTCAGCCTCAATATATTTGGGGAGAATTAAAAATGAGCCGTCTTTATTTGCAGACAGCCGAGCCCCCTCCTGTGAGTGTTCGGTGAAGCATGATATGCTTACAAATCCAATGTAGGATATAAACACGACTAAACTGCAATGATAGCAAAGCTGTGGCTTGGGTTTTTGGGGTAATAAAGTCCAAATCATCGTTGGGCTGTCAGCCAATGAGTGACGCCTGAGGAAGATGAGAAATGTAAATTAAACATTGTTGAGAAAATGCTGCATCTCTTGCATTTATTGACATAGAGGAGCCTTATTGTTTACCTTTTTAATATCATTTTTTGTAATTTTCAATTGCTTGGTTTTCGTGAAATCAGCCTGTTTTCCTAATAAAGTGTAACAGATTGATGAATCTCCACAGATCATCTTAAAGGCTTCGGAATCCCCCCCATTGTAGTTAAAAAACTGTAAAAACTAGGACCCCCAAACAGCATCTTGCATATGGCCTCCAAAAAGCTAGAAACGGCCCTGTTCAGAACTGCCTTAATTCTTCGTGGCATAAATTCAACAAGGTGCTGGAACATTCCTCAGAGATTCTGGTCCATATTGACATGATGGCGTCACTCAGTTGCTGCAGATTTGTCGGCTGCACATCCATGATGTGGATCTCTGGTTCCACCACATCCCAAAGGTGCTCTGTAGGATTGAGATCTGGTGACTGGAGGCCATTTGAGGGAACTCATCGTCATGTTAAATAAACCAGTTGGAGATGATTTGAGCTTTGAGACACGGCGTGTTATCCTGCAGGAATAGCCATCAGAAGATGGGTCCACTGTGGTCATAAAGGGATGGACATGGTCAGCAACAAATCTCAGGTAGGCTGTGGCGTTAAGACGAAGATCAATTGGTGCTAAGGAGCCCAAAGTAAGCCAAGAAACTATCCCCCAAACTATTAACCCCCACCAGCCTGAACCGTTGATACAAGGCAGGATGGATCCATGCTCTCGTGTTTTTACGCCAAATTCTGACCCCACCGTCCGAATGTCGCAGCAGAAATGGAGACTCATCAGACCAGGCAACATTTTTATAACCTTCTTTTGTTCAGTTTTGGTGAGCCCGTGCAAATAGTACCCTCAGTTTCCTGTTGTTATCTAACAGGAGGGACACCCGGTGGGGTCTCTGCTGCTGTAGCCCATCTGCTTCAAGGTTCCACGTGTTGTGGTTCAGAGGTGGTCTTCTGCATACCTTGGCTGTAACCAGTGGTTATTTGAGTAACTGTTGCCTTTCTATCACCTTGAACCAGTCTGGCATTTCTCCTCTGACCTCTGGCACCAACAAGGCTTTTTCTCCCAGAGAGCTGCCCCTCACTTGGTGATTACCCTAATTGGACCATTCTCTGTAAACCCTAGAGATGATTTGTGCGTGCAAATCCCAGTAGATCAGCAGTTTCTGAAATACTCAGACCATGCCCAGTCAAAGTCACTTATATCTCCTTTCTTACCCGTTCTGATGCTCTGTTTGAACTTCACCAGGTCGTCTTGACGAGTTGCTGCCATGTGATTGGCAGATTTGTGCGTTAACCAGCAGTTGAACAGGTGTACCTAATAAAGTGGCCAGTGAGTGTAGGTCATAACTGGAACGTTAGATATAATCTTACACTGGATGCTGTATAGCTTCTTGTTTAACAAGCTATGTAACACAAAACAATATTTAGATCTTTCTACTTTTTTAAGTATGTTGTTTTAAAAAACAATAATTTTAAGTTACTATGTAGCCTACAACTAATATTTGTGTATTTCTACATGCGACATTTTTGTATTTACTAGGTTTATGATAATTATGTATTTTAACAGTTTCCTTCAGAATGATTTTTTAAACGTTTTCTTTACATACTAAATGCCTTAAAAGTAAATAAAATATACATATATATATCTTACATGGGAATAATGTGCCTGTGTCCAAAAAGGGGTATTGATGCTAATGATTAGTAACTAGTTACACATTTGAGTTCAAGTAGCCTTGTAAAGTGTGTGTGTGTGTGTGTGTGTGTGTGTGGTGTGTGTGTGTGTGTGTGTGTGTGTGTGTGTGTGTGTGTGTGTGTGTGTGTGTGTGTGTGTGGTGTGTGTGTGTGTGTGTGGTGTGTGTGTGTGTGTGTGTGTGTGTGTGTGTGTGTGTGTGTGTGTGTGTGTGTGTGTGTGTGTGTGTGTGTGTGTGTGTGTGTGTGTGTGTGTGTGTGTGTGTGTGTGTGTGTGTGGTGTGTGTGTGTGTGTGTGTGTGGTGTGTGTGTGTGTGTGTGTGTGTGTGTGTGTGTGTGTGTGTGTGTGTGTGTGTGTGTGTGTGTGTGTGTGTGTGTGTGTGTGTGTGTGTGTGTGTGTGTGTGTGTGTGTGTGTGTGTGTGTGTGTGTGTGTCAGGTTCCGAGGGGAGGGTTTCCAGGAGGGCTTTGAGAGAGGGAGCCGCCGAGGGCTGCAGGACGGCCGCAGACACGGGGCCTCTCATGGGGCCAAACTGTCCACTGAGGTGAGTCAGCACACATTACATCAGCCATTGATCCACCACACTGTAGAAACACTCACATGACTGACACCATTTAGCTGACATCCCCTTGTTTGATGAGTCAGAACTTTAACAAGAACTGTTCACTCTCCCATGAGTGGTGCAGTGATGACATTACATATGTTCGTAGGCCAACACAAAAGTTAGCATCACAAGGTCTCCCTCACTGGCTCAGCCCTTCTTATTGAAACTTGTTTTGTTAGCTATACTGTATCAAAATATATGACCACTATGTATACATGTTGTACAGTCTGTAAGTGTGTGTTTTGTTTAACTTTGTTTTTAACTTGGAGCTTTGATGTGTCGATGGTACGATATGTTGGTTACTGGATGATATTTTTGGGTGAGGTTGTCTCTTTGTCTCTTTATATGTAATTGAAATCCGGACATGAAAAATGGGATTAATTGGATAATCACTACTCTCACAGACTGTGAAAATATCCACTGTTAATGAATCTCTCAAATATGAAATGTTACAGTCTAACAGGACTTGATTATTGCAGAAAATATGTCAAACAAACGTTTATGATACTTACACGTTTTGTTCAGCAGGATAATCTCCACATATGAACACCACTAAAGTAAAAATCTAATGTTAGGCTTCAAAGGAACTCCAGCACGGTCACATGACTTCACGTCTCCACCGCTAAGCTAAAGGGGGCTAATGTTGGGCGTGGTGACGTTTAGTCTTCTCATTGAGACACTGATTAGAACCACTGTTTTTAAATTCACCAGTGGGGTGATGTTTTTTATGTTGTAAAACAAAACGTGAAAACATAATCAGCTAGGGTTAACCACAGACCTTATTTCAGGATAACCAAAAACACATTCAGAAAACTACTGACTCTCAGACGAGGAATCAGGAGGTGGTAAAATGCTGACTCATTCCCGGGTTTTAGGACTCAATCCTGCACTACTCTAATAAATCAACCCATGGTCAGTTAGCTCTGGATTCAGAATACGTTGGGATGTGTTGCTCCTGCTTGTTTACAGCCTCTTCTCCTCTAATCTACAGATTTCCTTTTATTATGGGTTTGCCGTAACATGGAAATGTCTCCTCCAACATAATACCGATGTCAAATCCAGGTATGGCCTTCGCAAACAAGATCATCATCTTCCTCTTATTTCAGCATATTTCACTTATACTAAACATATTTGAACCTACACACTTGATGCAAATGTCTTTAGTCCAACCCCTGCTCTGCTTCAGTTTAGAACGATAAAAGCAGTAGGTACAAACCTGATCTTTATCAGAGCGTATCCAGGCTAACATGCTACTATCATGCTACTAAAATTATCTAGTTCATTTATTGTCCAGCTCAGTGGCTGTGGCACACAGATAAGACTGGATTTGTCAACAGTTTTTTCAGATTACCCTGCTGAACAAAATGTGTAAGTATCCTAAAAAGCCACAGACCTCATTTTCCAAAAAGAAAAACCATTGTTTTATTGAGGGAGCCCGTGCTATGCTAACTTTTCGGTTGGACTACGACTCTTTTAAATTTGTATTACGATAAAATGGTGATTTTAATTGTTTTTTTTTTAATCAAAACTGCGGCTTTACTGATTGGCAGAGGCAATAACAGAAAGGCGACATTTGTTGTTTAAATGCTAGATTAAACAGGCTAGAGACTGGTGAATGTAGTAATACAGCCAATCATGAACCTGTGAGGCAAGTGAAATTCATAAATCGTTCAGATGACAAAATACCCTGCCTCATGTTTTATTTTATACATCTGCATTTTTCATTGAGGTCATTTTTTCTGAGGGTCGATCCCTTTATTAATGGTACTTATTTTTTTGTATCGTTTATTTTGTGTGTGTGTGTTCAGAAAGCGTATGAAGGCGCTGGAGGCTCTGCTGGGTTTGATCCAGAACTCACCTCATGATGATCCTCACTCTGCAAAGCTCCAGGAGAACATGGAGAAAGTCCGTGCCAAGTTCAGACAGGTACACTCCATGTGTTAGGGAACAATAATCATAGCAGAATACACAAACGGCAGCTATCAGTTTTCATTACAGACCGCCGCTCTTCTTTAGCAGACACTAAATCATTTCTTGTCTGCCCTTCTGATGGTCTTAATATGACACAGATTTGGATCAATAGACGAAGACATGGGAGCTAGGTATACCAAAAAAAAACATGTTCAATATCATACCCAGAACTTTTTTATTTCATGTCCTTTTTTCAATCGGGATGGGTATTTAGAACTGGTACTAATTTGGTAGCGGTACCTTTTTGGCCAGTACTGATGTGATCCTAAGTAAAAAAAAGTAACTTTAAGTTGTTAACATCTGTATGACAGTATATAAGGCCATCTTATTTTGAGCAGTTTATGAGTAAATATTTGCACAACATTAATTGTACACCGTGTGTTTCATAACGGACACAAACTCCACACAACTTCATGTCCGAGGGTTTAATCACTTCCGGTTGGAGGGCCAACGCTGTGTGTGTCTGTCAGGAAACACACTGTTTTCCAACATTTCAAACATTTACTGATAAACTGCACAAGATAGACATTTAGTATCGACATACAGAAGTTAACAACTTCATGGTTCCCTAATGTTTTTTTAACTTAGGATCATTTATCCGTGTTTAGTCCAGAAAAGGTAAATGTTTGCATTTTATTATCAAGCCTAGTATATTTACAGGGACTGTTGCAAAAACCAAACGGCTTATAAACATCAGATTTTAAAACAAAAGAGGTTTACAAAAAATAGACGCCACTAAAGATTTTTTGAGTTTTATTTTTGTTATTATTTTTATGCTGATTTGAAACCGTTGTTACGAAACGTTACGGAGTTTCCTGTTTCTGCCAGAGAGAGGGGAGTTCGTCCCAAAGCTTGCCGCTGTATTTACCTGAAAGGAGGGAGCCTCATTTAGCTGTGAGTGTGGGGGGCTGGATTGGAGGGTCTCAGTATGTCTCACAGCTGACTCTGTGTCCAGGTCTGCTCCATGCTGAGTGTCCCGACTGACTTCAACGATTACATCAAAACTTCTGAAGGGACTACTTTCTGATCCTCCAGAGGGGGAGGTGCCGAGCCACCTCTGGTCCTGGCAGAGTGGGGGGGGGGGGGGCGACTGCTGTGGGTCTGCAGTGGACTCTGGATGCTCTCTGTGAAGCAGCCATCTTTGAGAGGAGTGTGTGCCTCCCGTTCTGATGAGAAGCTGTGTGACGTGTAGGACAGTCCTCAGGAAGGTGAGGGGGGGCTGCTGGGACTGCTTCCTGTTGAGCTTGCAGAGTAATAAACCAGAACACGGACAAAGAACGTGTTTCTCTGGACTTTGGTAAATGAGTGGATTTATGCAGTGATGAGCAACTGAAATGAAACGGCAACAAAAGTCACCAAAATAAAATCTTGGAACAATCTGCTCGCCGGTGTCTGAGGTGTCTTTGTCTCAACTCATTTAGCAGGGTTGGAGAGTATTTAAGTACATTTGCTCAAGTCTTATTCACTTTCTGCTTTCACACAACATATTTGAGGAGCTTTGAAATATGATGTTTGCTAAAAGATGTAACATGCAACAGGGTACACTTAGTGTCCCATTGATCAGGTATACCTATCTAAAGGTACACTCTATGAAGGTTCCTGTGCAGAGCGTTTCAAAGAGGAGTTGATTTAACTGCAGGACCGTGTTGAGGCTGGGGTTACTGATTCTCTTGAACTGTGTTATGTTCAATACAAACAGCATCAGCACCAACTCAAACGTAGAGTTCACAGGAAATGTATTTATTAAATTACATTTAGCACATTTTGAATTTGAATGTAATGTTCTTGGTTCTTGGTTCTTGGTCCCCTCCTCTTCTCCTTGTACACAAACTCGCTCGGATCAGTCATTAGCCCGCATGGTTTTTCATACCACTGCTACGCTGACGACACCCAATTAATTCTGTCCTTTCCCCGCTCAGAGACCCAGGTCGTCGCACGCATCTCTGCTTGTCTAGCTGACATCTCTCAGTGGATGTCAGCTCACCACCTCAAGCTCAACCTTGACAAGACTGAGCTGCTCTTCCTCCCGGGAAAAGATTGTCCCACTCTTGACCTAACAATCAACATTGGCACCTCTGTTGTTTCCCCGACTCAGAGAGAAGCCCCTCACTGCAGTGCGCAGTACCTCAAGCCCCTCCTTCTCAACCTTTGAGGCACGTGACTAACGGCCCCTCCTTCTCAACCTTTGAGGCACGTGACATCCTGTTTCCGGGGTAGCAGTTCTGTTCTGTTAATCATAGCGTCAGAGTACGATGGAGGTGTGAGTGTTAAACATGTAACCCCTAACGTCTTTGTCAAATATATTTCAGGATGAAGAGGTTCCACAAAAGAAGCAGGCCATAATTTGAATGCGTCATGAGTGACCGCTGCTGGGGGGGAACTGTTACAATCTGTATTAGGTTCACTAATGCCTCAAAATGTAATAGTTGTCAGAATCTGTCTGTGTTTTATTTTGTCCTGTCTCTGTCTCTGTGTTCAATACAATTGAAAGTCCTGAATTCAAAGTGTTTCTTAAGTAAAAGAGTATTATTATCAGCTAAATGTACTCGAAGTATCAAAAGTAGAAGTACATGCGGAATGGCTCTGTTCACAGTATTATATTACCATTGATATTATCCTGTCAATTCTATCAATTTGTCAATACGATGGCACTTTTTTAAAATATTTTTTTAAATACTGGTAGGAAATAATGTGATATGATTTCATTTATATCACATGTTTTTCAGTAAAAAGTGAGTAAATATACAATATTGCCTCTGAAATTAAAATTAAAAAGTTAAAAAACAAATGAAGGCCCTTTCTTGAAGTCATAACTGAAATAATTGATTCAATTAACATGCAAATAGACATTAAAATATGCTTTGAAGGCTGTTAATGTGTTTAATTTGAGTTTTACATTTTTAAATGCCGTTGCCATGGCGACAGATCACTCGCCATCATCATTGATATCATTATATATATTAATATATATTATGTTAAAATAGTTAATACTCTGACGCTATGATTAACAGAACAGAACTGTGAAGCTCGTCACGTGCCTCAAAGGTTGAGAAGGAGGGGCTTAGGTTGAGAAGGAGTGGCCGTTAGTCACGTGCCTCAAAGGTTGAGAAGGAGGGGCCGTTAGTCACGTGCCTCAAAGGTTGAGAAGGAGGGGCTTAGGTTGAGAAGGAGTGGCCGTTAGTCACGTGCCTCAAAGGTTGAGAAGGAGGGGCTTAGGTTGAGAAGGAGGGGCCGTTAGTCACGTGCCTCAAAGGTTGAGAAGGAGGGGCCGTTAGTCACGTGCCTCAAAGGTTGAGAAGGAGGGGCTTGAGGTACTGCGCACTGCAGTGAGGGGGACTACGACTCAGACTGCAAGGAATCTGGGTGTGACCCTAGATAACAACCTGTCCTTCACTGCAAACATCGCTGCTACAACCCGCTGCTGCAGATACACGCTTTACAACATCAGGAGGATACGTCCCCAGCTGACTCAGAAAGCGACTCAGGTTCTGGTCCAGGCTCTCGTCATCTCACGCCTAGACTACTGCAACTCCCTCCTGGCTGGTCTACCTGCATGTGCCATCCGACCTCTGCAGCTCATCCAGAATGCAGCGGCTCGTCTGGTCTTCAACCTTCCTAAATTCTCCCACACCACTCCGCTCCTCCGCTCCCTTCACTGGCTTCCGGTAACTGCTAGAATCCACTTCAAGACACTGGTACTGGCGTACCATGCTGCGAATGGATCTGGCCCTTCCTACATCCAGGACATAAACCGTACACCCCAGCACGTGCACTATGCTCTGCATCAGCCAAACGACTCGCTGCGCCCTCGCTGCGAGGGGGACCCAAGTTCCCATCAGCAAAAACACGTGGGTTTGCTGTCCTGGCTCCAAGATGGTGGAATGAGCTCCCCATTGACATCAGGACGGCAGATAGCTTGCACATCTAACGGCGCAGACTGAAAACTCATCTCTTTCGACTCCACTTCGAGCGATAGAATTATTAACAAAGCACTTATATACTAATAAAGGACTGGCTTACCTAAAGCCAGTTGAGTAGCACTTGAAATGTTTGGCTCTATGAAGCCTGATGTACTTATATGATTCTGTTTCCTTCAAGGTTGTATCTTCTTGGTCGAATGTACTTATTGTAAGTCGCTTTGGATAAAAGCGTCAGCTAAATGTAATGTAATGTAAAAAATGTAATGTAATGTTGTATTATTCACAGCTGGTACATGACAACACTAACATGGACAGCGCTGTTGTGATGAATTACAGCGAAGGAGGACAGACAAGAACATTTTGGTCCGATTTAAAGGAACCTAATTACAGAACAGCTTCTCCCAGGTTTCTTTATAAAATGAAAAACACCTCAAAGACAATTGATTTGCTTAAGTAACAGCTTTTCCCTTTGTATTTGATATCTGAGTCATATTACCTCATTGGTTTTTTTTGGATCACTCAGTGTTATTTAATATTACTATTGCTTAGTCAATAGTCCATGCAGTTTTGTATCTCCCTTACAACCACAAGCACATGCTCATACATACACCACACACACATCTTCGTACACTTTTCACAATCACATTTCCTTTCTTTTTTTTGTCATTATTTTATTGTTTTTTTAATTGTATGTTCTCATGGTATGCCATCAATATTAAATTCATATCATTTTTTGCAGTGAGTACAGAACACTAACATGAGGGATTACACAGAAATCAGTGCAGCTATATCCAGTTTGATAATACAGCACACACAAGTATTTGTTTTCACAAAGTTTGCTGCTTCAGTGTTTTCAGATGTTTTTGTCAGATGTTACTTACAAGTTAATTACAAGTATTTCACATGTGTCAAAGGGTTTTATTGACAATTACATTAAGTTTATGCAAAGAGTCAATATTTTCAGTGTTGATCCTTTTTCTTTTTCAATACCACTGCACTTGAGGATTGACAACAAGTTGTCAATGAGATTAAAGTCTGGGGAGTTTTCTGGCCATGGACCCTAAACATTTCTATGTTTTATTCTCCGAGCCACTCGGTTATCACTTTTGCTTCATGGCAAGGTGCTCCACCATGCTGGAAAAGGCATTGTTCGTCACCAAACTGTTCTTGGATGTTGCACTCGGAGGATGTTTTGGTGCAATTCTTTATTCAGGGCTGTGTTCTTAGGCGAAGTTGAGAGTGAGCCCAATCCCTCGGCTGAGAAGCAACCCCACACATGAATGGTCTCAGGATGCTGAACTGTCGGCATGACCCAGGACTGATGGTAGTGCTCACCTTTTCTTCTCCAGACAGGCTTTTTTTCGGAAACCCCAAATAATCAGAAAGGGTATTTATCAGAGAAAAGGACTTTACCACAGTCATCAGCCGTCCAATCCCTGTACCTTTTAGAATTTTAGTCGGTCCCTGATGTTTTTCCTGGAGAGAAGTAGCTTCTTTGCTGCCATTCTCGACACATGGCCATCCTCCCAAGTCTTGGCCTCACTATGGTGCAGATGCACTCACATCTGCCTGCTGCCATTCCTGAGCAGGCTCTACACTGGTGGTGCCCAGGGGCCTCATTTATAAAGGGATATACGCTCAAAAAATGGCGTACGCCAGTTTCTACGCAATGTTTGCGATTTATAAAATATTAACTTGACGGGAAAACGTGCGGTCCTCCAGGCAAACTCTAACCCATGCGTACGCACTAAGCACAAACACGGGAGAGACGAGAAACTGCGACACCAGAAGGAAGAATGGAGAGAAATATGTGGAAATAATACCATAAATAAAATGTTACCTCTCATTTATCATATATGAAGAATTCATTTTCAAACATTGATTAAAGCCAATCTTAAAATGATTAAACAAACGCCTGTTTGCGACTCCTCAGTGCACACAAACACATAACTTGGAGAAATAAATAAATACACATATGTTATTGAAAACCACCTCGAATATGTTGTGTTAATGTTATGAAATGTTTTCTCATAAATGATGCGGTAAGCAGGAGGACAGAATTACTTGAAACTGACGCCGTTTTGCATTTCTATAGGTTGTAGATACGAGCATGGTTTTATATACTATCACGTTTAATCGTGTTTTATGCCGTTTGCCAAGACTTGATAAGTCGCTCGTAAAACACAGGAGGTATGGAAACTAAGAACACCTTATGTGTTAAATTGTACAGCTAATATAACAAAACACATTAGTTGTATTTCCTTTAACTGGTGGATATAGAGTTGCTGCGGGGAGGGGGGGGGGGGGTTGAGACGCACAGGCTGCAGTGGAGACGCTGCGCACAAACCACCAAATACAAAAACATAATTCAGATCCAGTCGTCATGACTCCACTCCGGAGGGATTCCCCGATGATTTCTTACAGTTTCTCATCAAGGGGGGGTCTCCTGCCCTCGGTACAA